TATGGAGAAATTATATCTTTGTGCAAACTATATGAGACTGGTTCTTTTAATGTTTTAGTCGGGATAACCGCTACATTTTAAACTTCTTCATAATCTGGCATGATTGGATCCAATGATCATTATACAAGATTGTGTTTAATAGGGTGGCTCATTTCACCACTTTTTGGCGTGTTAATGAATTTGTAGGACAATGACAGGTCTACATCTACACTCATCACAATCTACACATCATATAAATGTGAAATGTGAAATGTGAAATGAGAAAAGAGGGATTCCATTTCAAATTTGATGCGTACAGAGCAATTTTTTAGGGGTAAATTTAGAAGATGCCAGTGCGGTCGGTCTGTTGAGCACGAAAGTAAAAATATGTTTTCATTTAAACGGGCCCAAACTGTTATTTGGCCCACTAATCGTGCACCCATCGCCAATGCATTCAAATTCGGGATTTTGATCGTAAAATCGTAGGATTTTAGGATTTTACTTAGGGATTCCGATCTTGATTTTACTATAAAATCGGTGGACCTTAAAATCGTTTAAAATCGGGATTTTGATCGTAAGAGAACAAAATAGGTGGTTTGAGCCAATTTAAAATAAGTATAACTGTTTCAGCAGAAAGGGCAATGGAATCTTCTCAGATATTTTTCTATTAGAAAAATATTCAAAAATAATAAAAATAACCAAATTAGGGTTCGGTTAATCTCTTTCCCTTCACCCCATTTAACTTATTGGTAAAACACCTGTCCTAATATTGGAAGTATGTAAGAACTAACATCATTATTAACTAATTAATTTATTAATGAATATATTTGTACCAAGCCACTAACATTACTTTTTTTATTGGAGTTCAATTATTTTTAGTTTTAAATCATACTTAGTAGACGATGTCGAAATATTACTTTGAGTTAAACAACCTAGACATAACATGAAAATAAGAGCCAAACCCATGAACTATATCCCTTCATCATGAATTATTTTGAGTTACACATTAAATAACAATTAAAATAGTGATTTTGGAACATTAATCTTGAGAATTATCTTATGGAAAAAAAATCTTCTGAATTATCATTTTAAATGCTATGTGTCTTTGTGATATTAATAATTTACTTTATTAATATTCTTATATGCTATGTTCTATATGGTACTTAAAATCCTACGATTTTACGATTCGATTATACGATTTTGATTTTACCCCAGTTTTCGATTTTAGGTAAAATCTCGATTTTAACTGCTTTGCCCATCGTAGCCTCTCCAAATCTTCCTATTCTACTCGCCGGGTCATCTCCTCCTCTACAAAATATCTCCTCATGTACTCAAAGTTCTCACTGAAACCTAATATCTACAACTTAGGCGCAGAGGGAGCAACCGATGGATTGTAGCGACCCCCACTATTTTGATAGCTAATCAAGAAGAGCGCGTTTGTTTAGTTGTATGGTGATTCACTAAATTAACAATTTTTATTCCGTTGACAGCCTCCTCTCCGCAATTGTATTGTGTTCATGAAGATCTGAAGGCGCAAGTGCAACAGGTCCAGGGGTAAACAATATGTATAAAGCGTTAGCCAAATTGAATTGAGTCATTCTACTTGGAATATGAAGATTTTTGCTTAATTGTTTTGGTTCGTGATGCAACTATGTTATGTTTGAAGGTAGACCAACGCAAACAACAGCACAGCTCCAGGGCTATTCTGCACATTAGGTAGTTGGAGCATTAATTGATAATTATTTGGGATTATTCCTACAAGTACATAATTTGGAACGTGCCTTTATATTGCATTGATTAATAGTTGTTTGAGATTTTTCAAATGAGTGATTTGACATGTTAAACTCTCTTATTTTTGAAAATGGAGTCTTCGAAGTGGAATATGAAGATTTTGGATTAAGCTTGGTTTCGTAACGCCCTTATGGGTGTTTATTCTCTAAAATGCAGCTGTCTTTCAAAGTGCCCGTTGCAAATGGCAAGTCAGGATACAACGATGGTACCGGTACACGTTTATATCATTAGTAGGTAGCAGATTGTGTCCATTCTACTATATCATTTAGCTAAACACTTAGTTGTTCTTTTCAACTAAAAATTATGCTTAAATGCTGTGATTGGCCTCAGAAATGTATGTCTTTGCATTAACTGTTAATGATTGTGAGTTTTGGTTTAATGGTGAAAAGTCCATTTATTTAGAAGTCTAAATTGGGCAAACCTATTGGACAATAGGAATGCCATACATTAGTGTCGTGGGAGGTTTGTTTGATGTCTCAGGGTGTTAGATTTTTAAGAAGGTTGTTTGTTGTGGCAGAGAGTCCCTAAAGCTAGCGAGGTATTCCTATGTGGGCTTTTTCTTTGTTTGACTTTTTCTCGCCTTTTTTCTTATCTCTTTTTCTATTTTTGGTTTTTGTGTGCTACCTTCAGTTGCTACGTCTTCATTTGTGAGCCATCTATACTTTTCTTATTCTGTGCCTAAAAATCATATATACTCGATTGCATAGTAGTTACTAATAGATACATTTATACCAATAGAGAGATTTTAAGTTTTATCAGTTGTTAGTTTTAATATTTACTTACATTGGTTGTTTATGTAGTTTTCTTTGTAATATTTCTCATTATACAGCTAATTACTATGGCTACGTAGTTGTATAAGTGGGGGTTGGACATGATAGTTCTTAGAAGCATCAGTACTTGAAGGTTATTATAAAGACCAAATTCTAAAGTTATGGTTTGCCTTCAACTTGCTTGGAGCATTTCAATTATGCATCAATTGTTCTCTCCGTGTAGTTAACTCTCAGACAAATCGAAAATCTTGCTGATATGTGCTTGATTGTAGTTAAATTTAGGGTTCTACTGCATTGTTGCTTTACTCCTTTTTCGTGGTTGAGTCTGCTTCAAAAAATTTAGTTTGATTTTAGAAAATTTTGCTTCTGCAGTCCTATCTTTCCACCAACGCGTTCAATAGATGGAGACGGGAGAGGCGAAGGCTATTTTTGTGTTGTTGTTGCTGGTTTAGGGATCGGTTTGTGAAGAAGAGGGAGAAGAGAGGGGGAAAGGGAAATGCAGGAGAGGGGGATAACTCTTTTCTCCGACAAAAATGGAGTGAAGAAAGGAATTATGATCAGTAAGAATATGGTTATATTACATAAAGGTCTCTATTCTGTTTGAATTGAGCTTGAGAGGCAGTGAAAAGGACGAGCTGCAACCAATTCATAGTGAGAAGAGAGCTATGAACTGTGATCATGTCTTATTTCAAGTTAGAAGGTAGTTTCAGTATAAGGATTATTTAATTTGACAAGTTGTTCCGTCCATGATTCTTGGTAGTTTCAGTACCATTCTAGCCAATGTTTAGTCTGTAATTTTTGAGAATTGATGTGCGAGTAATGACTTTCACTTAGCTTCAACTATTATGTGTGTATTTATTGGCATGTGATAGAATTCTCTTTTCCGTTTCATTGAATTCATTTTCATACTCTAACTGTATTATTTGTACATAGGCAAATCATGCTCGAGATGGCAACTCGCTGATATGGCTGGTGCAAGGAATGAAGCCATCATTAGAATTCAGACCGACAACGGGGAGGGATGCCCAGGACTAATTCAATGATGATTGATGATGGTATAATAAAAACTGCAGTCTGCATCAGCACCAATTTCTAGGCCTAAGTAAAGGTATTCAACCCAGAACTCTGCTTAGCGCGTAAAATTGCCCTCACCCAACCTTGATCCTGTTTGACCCACTTCTGAAGAGTCAAGATATATGACTAATCCTCCCCGTTCGTATTTTCTTAATGACTCTTTCTAATCCTGTAGGTTGGGGGTGGGTCGGGAAGAATTGGATTAGTGGGTCGGTCCTAATCAAGTGGAATCCCAATCCCTTCACTCTCACTTGCTTTCTCTCCCATTCCACAAGTGGGTAACATACAGTAATCCGGCCAACGGGCCGGGTAATAAGCTAGTTATTTTTAATTTGCCACGTCACTCATATAACGGTCAACTATCAGAGTTGACTGCCACATCAGACAAACTTAACGGAGACTAACGGAGAGTGACCAAACTTGATCTGTTGAACTAATCTTAGTGACCATGAATGGAATAAAGTAATTTGAGTGGCAAACGTGAATTTTTTTAGTAATTCAAGTGACCAAACTTGCAATTTACCCCAAATGTATTCATGACGAAGCTTTCTTTTGGTGTAGCTTGTGCAATGTCCCTATGTGTAGTTTATATCTGCCTATTACTGCTAGATCAATTTCTTTATTCGGAAGAATCATTAGACTCATCCTAATTTTCACGTTCGGTTCTAATTTTGTTTCCTTAGACATTAATTTGACGTTACACCATTATCCTTAACAGAAAACCAGAATATAACCGGAAAACAGGAATCAATCTCCAAATGAGACCAATGAAAAGAAAGAAGAAAAATCCATGAACCGACCCCATCGTCTCCGCCCTATATGAACTACGAGAGAGGGAGACGAGTAGGGAGGGCAATTTTGACCTGACCTGTTTTACCCGACCTGTTTGACCTGTTTTGGGGCGGGCATGGGTAGTCTCATCGACCCGACCTGCCCTGACCCACCCCATTCTCGACCCGTTCTTGTCTAAATTACATGAAATCTTAGTCAAATTACTTTGAATTTTACTTCTATCGCATCATATTTTAGCTATAATAAAGTTGTAAATTAGTGAAAACCTCAACTTCTCCAATAATTTAACTACAATTGTCATAATATTGTTTATTTTCTTAGTTTTATAATAAAAATAACGAATATTTCTAATGTTTTTCAAACAAATTGCATACCCATTGGGTCGACCTGCCCCAACCCGCGACCCGTGATCAATTACCCGACCTGGACCCGCCCTGCCACGGAGCGGGTCTGGATACCAAGAAACCCGCCCCGGACCTGCCCATTGCCAATGGAGCAGTACCCGGTATCTTTAATGGGCTTTTGGGTTATTGGGTCAACCCGATTCCGTATAAATATTAGAACAAAGATAGTCCCATTTGAATTTGGGCTGAAACGGAAACCACAAAACCGGAAAGGAAACGGAAAATCTAAACACGTTGATTGAACTACTATATAATTAACCGCGATCTGCGAAGAAGAAAGTGAAAGCGCGAACCCAGAAACTCCTCTCGCTAAAGCTTTTTGCTTCCATCGAAAGAACTAAGGTGCTCTGTGCTTGACTGCTTTTCCCTCGCTGTTCATCCATATCTTATCTGTTACTATCAATGAATCATTCTAGGAAGGCGATTCCTTTTCAAAACTACAGTCTTGTGTCAGCTTCAGCTCTTTTCTTCTGTTCTATGTTTAGGGTTTATCTGCGTTTGATTTGTCGGATTAAATAGTGGAACGAAATTCGAATAGTTGCTTACATCTCGCCGACGGTTGTTAAGGTCTACGATTGTGCGCATGAATTGAGTTTCTTAAGTAGGATTGAGAAATCAGAACTGATTGGGTGGTTTTAATGGAGTTTCTGGATTCTGGGAAATTTAAACTGTTATCGATTGGCAAACTTGCTTTCTTCGACTCATGGTGAACTTGTTTCGGGTCATCAGAATGTCAGGAGAAGAGGAAGAGAATGCCGCCGAGCTCAAAATTGGAGATGGTAGCGACACATGCTGAAAAGATTATTTCTTTTTGTGTGTGTATTTGCTATTGGTATTCTCCTGATAAGGGTTTTTGTTCTTCTCCACTCCACAGAGTTTCTAAAGGCGAAATGTTTGATGAATTGTGAAGTTTCTTTGATCCTTGAGCACAAGTATGAGCAGCTTCAGCAGATGTCAGAGGACGCCACAAATCAGATGTCCCAGTAGGTTTCTTCTCAGTCTTAGTGTTTTTTTGTTTGCTTTCAGTAGCTTTAAAGTGGTTGAGTTTACTGATACTCCCTTGTTTTTTCGAGATGATAAGTGGTTTTCTGCAATTTTGGTTCTATGTTATTTGTGGTTGAGAGAGCAATGGATGGACTTCTATGTGGTCTATGTGAGTCTACATGTCTAACTCAAACTGATTACTATTTTGCAGGGTGTTTGAGAAATCACTGCAGTATGTAAAGCGCTTTAGTCGGTACAAAAATCCTGATGCCGTCAGACAAGTGCGAGAGTATCCTTGAGAGATCAGTATACATGTTAATTGCTACTATCATTACGCAGGCTACTTATGATGTGGTATATGTGGCTTTGGTTATCGACTTTGCTTTAATACAGGAGTGTGTTTCCTTTCTTGTTTGGCAAATGCTCAATATTCATAGCTCTAAATGTTGGAACTTAACCACAGCTTTCAGAATCCTAAGCCGGTACCAGTTGGCCGAATTTGAGGTAAATTGCATGACAACCCAGTGATATATGTGATCTCATGTGTTGCCTTCAAAAATCCTGAACCTTTATAATGTTCCCCTTGCAGCTCTGTGTTCTTGGTAATCTTTGTCCTGAAACTGTGGAGGAAGCGATAACAATGGTGCCATCTCTCAAGGTACAATTTTTTCTAACATGCTACCCTCCTTCTCGATGGAATCATGTTATATGCATTGGACTAGCATTTCTGGAACCGGATCATGACAAAGAATCAGAGGAAGTAGCCATTAACATACTGTCATTGGCTTAGTATTTTGAAACTGAAGATGCATTCTTCATCAACCATACAAAAAGGAAACATTTTGTAGTGATGTACTGTTTGCTTCTGCACAGTCAAAGGACCGGTCGCTCAATGACGACGCGATCGACAAAATGTTGAACGACTTGTCGTTGATCAAGAAGTTCGAGTAGAAAGAGTGCGTGCTTCTTCTTTGCTCGTGAAGTCCAGTACGGATGTTTTTTTTCCTACACGTGAAGCTGACTTGAAAGGAGTGGTGCAAAATTGTTGCAGCTGAGAATTGGCCAGAGTTGGAAAACGAGCGTTGCTGCTTCTTTTTCCTTTTTGTTGTACAAATCACTCATTCAGAAACTGTTTCGTTTGTATGTGGAATTGTTCTCGTGAGCTGGTTCACTGCTTAGAGTTAGAGGAATGAAATCACACTTTTCCCTGACTATTACAAAAGGTTTTATGCATGATGCATTTCCTTGAGTATTAAGATTGGATTACTGATACTCATAACAGGAGTTTCCAGATCAAAGTTATGAAGAGTCCAGTTATGAAAAACAGTGTATAGCTAATAATTTGTCAGACACTTCTAACATTTGTCATTAGTGTTAGCACCATACTAATAAAAGAAGTGTTAACACCATAACGTTTTTCGAATTCTCATCCCATGCCCACCAACCACTCCGTTAAATCGTCCTTTCCCTTTCCATTGTTTTCAAGTTGTAATTGTTATTGCTAAATCGTTTACTTTTGCAAGAAATATAAAAAAAAAAAAAATTCCATCATCACAAGAAAAAAAATCCATCCACTTTTAGATATTTCTCATGATAAACCCCCCACCCCAATCATCATTTCCCTTTCCATTGCTTTCAAGTTTTAAATTAATTACGGGTAAATTGCAAGATTGGTCACTGGAAGTGTTAGAAAGTTCACGTTTGGTCACTAAAAGCATTTTATTCTATTCATGGTCACTGAAAGTGGTTAAACGTTTCACGTTTAGTCACTCTCCGTTAGTCTCCGTTAAAACCATCAGTGTTTTGCTGGCGTGGCTAACAGAAGTGATGAGTCACCAAATTTTAAACTAAAAAAATTGAAACCCGACCATCCCAGAAAATACACCTCCCGAGTCCCGACCCAACCCAATTTGTTGTTGCTTTTCTCCTTCGTTCTTCAACCTCGCATCGCCGACGATCCTTTTTCCCCAACCATCCCAGAAAATACAATTCCAAAGCCAGAATCGATTATCATTCCATCCATCCCAGTCGTAACTCCGAGATTCCCTCACATATTTGAAACCTTGAAAATACAATTTTCGAATCCGAAATCAGCCATATAAAATCCAAAAAAACACAATGTCAAACCCATTAATTGAAATTGGAGAGGGGAAATCGATGGTGACGGATTTTCTTCCAGTAATCATCGAAGAGAGGGAATTTGGGGTTAGCGGCTGTAGGTGGATCTGCCGCCGGAGCGGGAGAAGGAAGTGAGGGCTTCGATGGAGGAGCAGCTCCAACTGTATCTTTCTCATTTCAAAGAAGATCTGGAGTTTTTGGCAAAAGCAGTTCTTGAGCTTTAGGTGATGGCCATTAAAGAAGGGTGAAGAAATTTGTGAGTGAGATCCCGTGGAGTCCTCTTGCTCTATTTTTGGTTTCGTTTCATCGTACAACTCTGTTTTGGGGGAGGTCTCGAGATCGGAACATTTCGCTGGCGGGAGCCGATGCCCTACTTTAATGCTTCGATTCCCCTCTTTGTCATCGTACGAAGAGGCTGAGTCGCAATTAATTAAAACTCGGCCACAGTATCAGAGCACCTTCATGGAGGAGTTGAGAGAGCCAAAAGATTGGAGAAGAAGGGCAAAGGGGAATCCGGTGGGCGATTGGCTCTGAGGGTGAAACTTTTTCGTTTGGGCGGGTAGCTAGGGTTCTGGCCACAGGTTGGGGTAGGATTTATGAGGTGGTGGGTTAAGATCTGACGTGGTTGGTCGGGTTTTAATTTTTTTAGTTTAAAATTTGATGACTCATCACTTCTGTTAGCCACTGTCAGCAAAACACTGACGGTTTTAACGGAGACTAACGGAGAGTGACTAAACGTGAAATGTTTATCCACTTTCAGTGACCATGAATATAATAAAATGCTTTTAGTGACCAAACGTGAACTTTTTAACACTTCCAGTGACCAATCTTGCAACTTACCCAATTAATTACTATTGCTAAATTGTATATTTTTCAAAGAAAACATTAAAAAATCCATCCATTTTTAGCATATTTCTCATCATGTTTCCCTTTCCATTGTTTTCTTTTTAATAATGCTGATATAAATTAATTAAAAAGAGAAAGAGTACAATGGAAAGGAAAAAAGAGAGGCTTCAACAGCAGGGGAAGGAGTGCCTGCAGCAACAAAGCCCAGAAAAAACTCGAAAGAACATGAGCAGCCGCCCTCAAAACAACATGGGAGGGAGAAAACAAACACAGCAGCCAAGGGAACCAAAACAACGAGAGACAAAGGAACCAAAACTACGAGGGACTTTTTTTTTTTGACTGGTAATCTGGGAACTTTCATTAATCAGTGGTGGCAAACTACGAGGGACTGGGATGGAGGATTCTGCTCTTAATTACTATTTCAAAATTCAAATAAAACATAAAAAAAAATTCCATCCACTTTTAGCTTATTTCTCATAAAAAAAATCCATCCAACTTTAGCATATTTCTCATTATATCCCCTCTGTTACATCGTCCTTTCCCGTTCAATTGTTTTCAAGTTTTATTTATCATTGCTAAATCGTTTATTTTTCAAAGAACACACCCAAAAAATCATCTTCTTTTAGCATATTTTCTATATGGTTTTCATTTAATGTTTTAGTTTATGCTAAAATTTATGTTTTCAAAGAAAAAATTTAAAAAATTTCTATCTACTTATGTTTTTGTGAATTTTACCCTTGCCAATGTTTTGACAATGTTAGTTGGGAATGTCTCTTTAAGGTGATGGATAAACTGAGTTTTTCGGCAAAATGGCAGCAATGGATCAAAGGGGATCTATGCTCTCCAATGACATCTATCCTTGTTAACGGAGAAGCACATGGATACTTTCGTGCAAGTAAAGGGGTGCGTCAAGGAGACCCACTGTCCTCAGGGCTTTTCGTTCTAATTATGGACATCCTCTCCTTTCTTATCACGAAACTCCGGAATGTGAATGGACTCTTCGGTTTTGCTATGGACGAGGATAGGGGTGAGGGGGAAGTTACCCATATCCTTTTCGCAGATGATTCCCTCATCTTTTGTGATGCTAATGCCGATCAAGTTCTCAATATTCTATCTACGTTGGTATGTTTTCAAGCGGTGACAGGTCTTAAGATCAATCTAGACAAATCTATGATGTTGACTGTTGGTGATGTACCTGAACCCATCTATCTTGCAGCAATATTTGGGTGCAAATGGAGCGACGAACCATCGAAATATCTTGGTCTTCCGCTGGGTGATCGGCCTAATGCAGTTTCGATTTGGAATCCGGTTATTAACAAATATCAAGATCGGTTGCAGGGTTGGAAAAGAAGATTTCAGACTTTCGGAGCTCGGCTGATTCTCAACGGTGATGCCCTTAACAGCCTGCATGTTTATCATTTCTTTGCTCAAGGCTCCCAAATAAAACTGTTCTGAATAACATAGAGAAGATACAGCGCAGATTCCTTTGGTGTGGGGCAAACGGACAGAACAAGAGACATTTGATTCGTTGGGACCTCTGTAAGGCTTCTAAACAGAAGGGTGGTTTGGGTGCTATTGATCTTGAGAGTTTCAACAATGCTTTACTAGGTAAATGGCTATGGAAATATGCAGTGGAAAGAAACAGTTGGTGGGGACAGCTTCTCAATATTAAATATCCCAATCCAATCTCAGAATGGAAAACGAAGAAGATAGAAGAAGGGTTTAAATATCCCAATCCCAATCCAATCTCAATATGGAAGAGCATTATTCCCACAAAAGTCTGTGGGTTTATATGGCTAGTTTGGCATAAAAGAATTCTGACCATGGACAATCTGAAGAGACAAGGGTATCAGCTGGCAAACCGGTGCGTCTTATGTTAATAGCACTACACTACCTCCCTAGGTTGCAAATCACTACAGCGACTGTCAATTCAAAGCATACTGAGCAGGTAATTGCAAGGAACACGTACTTGGAGCCCTCAAATTCAAAAATTTGGACAGTGGACTAGGCTCCAAGCACACAAATAGATCTAATGCAGTAAAAGATAAACATCCCCCCCCCCACACACTTAAGATCGACATTGCCCTCAATGGAGAAGAGGGAAGGAAAGGGGAACGAAGTTACCGGTGTGCACGGACTGCAGAAGACTGGAAATGGACCAGTCGGGAACACAGCACAGCTCAAGGGGAACAGAAGAGCTCAACCAGAATATGTTAGGTCCGATGTCAGCCCAATAAGACATCATCCAGAACAAAGGAATCAAACCCAAACAAAACCAAATCGCAATCCGACTCGAAACACAAGAAAGAAAGTCAAACCGTGGTGGGGTTGCCTCCCCACAAGCGCTTCTTTACCGTCTTTTAGCTGGACGCCCATGGTGGATACTCAGCGAGGTGCAGGAACAGGTACCTCCAAGAGCGGATCCACGTCGCTCTTGAGGTACAGCTTCAGGTGGTGACCGTGCACCCGACGGTTGCAACCACCAGCAGTGGTCAGCTAGACCTGGCCATCTGGCAAGATGCAGGCGAGTGAGTACTCGGATGGCCAGGATGGTCGTGGTGCAGGGGGTGGAACCAGCTCATAGTGGTCTCCACTCTTCTTCCGTGAAGGCTTAGCCACCTGCGGCTTCGGTCGCCACTCCTCCTTGAGCTTTTTGTTCGGAGGCGAGACTGGATGGAGTGGCGGCGAAGGAATGATAGGCGGGTCCTGCAAAATGAGAGGTGCAGAAGGGTACACGACAGGCTCGTGTACCTGATCGGAAATAGCATGCACCGGCGATACAAAAATCATAGCACAATGATCAAACTCAGTCACAGGAAAAATAGCCTGTTCATTTCCAGCACGCAGGATTAGTTTACCATCATGCACATCAATCAGTGCCTTGGCGGTGACAAGAAATGGTCTACCTAGAATCAAAGGCACATCCACATCATCATTTATATCCAGAATAACAAAATCAACAGGATATGTGAATGCACCCACATTAACAAGCAAATCTTCTATGATACCCCTAGGATGCACCACGGAACGATCAGCTAGCTGAATGCTCATCCTAGTAGGGCTAAGTTCACCTAGGTCTAGCTTTTTGAACAATTGATATGGCATGACATTAATGCTAGCGCCTAGGTCTGCCAAGGGCTTTCCTACATGCATGCTGCCAATAGTAAGAGGGATAGTAAAACTCCCTGGATCCTTGCGCTTTTCAGGCAGCTTGTTCTGCAGGATGGCAGAACACTCCTCGCTTAGCAGCATTGTCGAGAGATCCCCAAGTTTCTTCTTGTTGGTGCAGAGATCTTTCATGAACTTTGCGTACTTGGGCATCTTCGACAGTGCCTCCACAAATGGTACGCTGATGTTGAGGTGCTTCAACATTGCCATAAACTTGGCAAACTCAGTCTCCAGCTTGTCTTTGTGTAGGCGAGTGGGGAAGGGAAGCTGGGGTACGTGCTCCTTAACCACTGGTTGTGGCTTGGGAGCAGGGGCTTCCTTCTCCACCCGCACTTCTGCATCGCCGGCTGGAAGTGCTGAAGCAGGTAGTGGTTCCTCCTGCCTGGTCGGGGCAGGATCAGCTGATGTAGGCCTGCCGCTCCTGGTGAAAATGGCACCCAGCTGCTCGTGCGGGTCCCGTGGATTAGGGATGGTGGTGGCAGGGAGAGTCCCCGGGGCCCGAGTAGTAATCTGGCTAGCTATGGCGCCAACCTGGTTCTGCAAATCTTGCAGAATGGCACCCTGGTTTCTCTGGCCTGCCTCCAGGGTTCTCTGGCCTGCCTCCAATGAAGTTATGGTCTGATCCATCCTCGTGATACTTGCCTGGCTGGTGGTCATGAATGCTGTCAAAATGTTCTTCAGCTCGGTCATCTGATTATCGGGTGCTGGCGTTGTTGCTGGCTCGGCATACTGACGCTGAGGCTGCTGGAATGGCTGCCCTTGCCTAGGCTGGTAAGGCTGCTGCTGTGGTGGTGGCCCCTGCCTAGCCTGGAAGGGCTGCCTCTGCTGAAAACCACCTGCTGGTGCTGGGAAACCAGGTGGCTTGTTGGTGTTGCTGCTCCAGGCAAAGTTAGGATGCTGGCGCCATCCCTCATTGTAGGTACTGCTGTATGGGTCCAGGCGCCGAGCATTGGCGATGAAGTCCACCTGCTCTTGGGGAGTAGAAGACTCCCTCATAGACTGACAATCTTCCACCAGGTGGTTCGGGCTCTCACACCACTGACACTGGGCGACTGGAGGCGGAACTACACCTCGGCTCGGTAGGAGACTGTTGGGCTGCTTCAATGTCTGCACCAACTCAGCCACCTGCTGCTCTAACCCGGATCTGGCCTCCATGGCATGCACACCACGGTCCCGGGAATGCCTGCCTCTGCTGCTCTGCCCCCAGGAATGATCGCGGGCAGCCAAGGTACTGATCATCTGGTTCAGCTCGGGTGGAGTCTTAGTAAGGATATCCCCTCCTGGGCATAGAGACTCGATCACCCTCTGGCTGTCTGGGGTGAGGGCACTGTAAAAGTTCCCTACTGTGAAAGCATCGCTGAAGCCATGATGGGGGACACTACCAGAAGTATCCCATGTACCGCTCCCATGCATCACGAAGGGACTCATCTGGCTCCTGGCGGAAGTGAGTGATCTCCCGCTGAATCTCAGTAGTCTTCGATGCCGGATAATACCTATGCACGAACTTGTCTGCCAGATCGTCCCAAGAAGTGATGGACAGTGGGGGCTGGGTCTCCAACCACCTCTTAGCATTCCCCGCCAGAGAATGGGGGAAGAGGTGAAGGCGGATTGCGTCATCGGGAACACCATTCAGCTTGAACCCGTTCGTCAGCTGCAGAAAACGGGAAAGGTGTGCCCGGGCTTCCTCATCCTTCAAACCATGGAACTGGATAGATGATGTGATGAGTTGAATCCAGCATGGCTTGATCTCGAAGTTATTTGCAGGAATGGGCGGATAGAGGATGACCGGGCGGATGTCAACAATCCGTGGAGTATAGTAGTACTCCAAGGTGGGACCCGGTGGTGGTGGATGATGATGGTGCCCAGCTCCCTGGGGGTGTTGGTCGTTCCCCAGGATCTGGTTCTGAGGAGGTGGGTTCTGATCGCCTTCCATCTCGTACTCGTCCTCGGAGTCGCTGGTCAATTGGCCGTCTCGGCGCTCCACCGTAGCCAGTCTAGCTTGCTGTTGTCTCCGAAGTTGTTTGCAGGTGCACTCAATCTCAGGATTCAACGGCAGTAAACCTCCCGACTGGCTACGGGTCATGCACTATCTGCACACAATCAAGCAAGGCAAACCCGTGAAGGCACAAGTGGGAAGGGACAAAAACTCAATGCGAAAATGAAAGTGCTAGAGTAACAGAAATCACTTTTCTTCAACAACCTAGCCGTTCCCCGGCAACGGCGCCAAAAACTAGACTCACTCCTACTGTCACTCTAGAAAATGGCCAAGTGTAACCACTTCCTAAAGCGTAGTATAGCGGGTTTGGGTTTTAATGTCAACCCGGGTCCTAGATGTGATGACTACTCAGTGAATTCGTATTATCTAGCAATGAAACTTTAGTGAAGTTCTAAACTAACAAGCAAGCAAAGCAACTAAACGGTTGTATTCAGGTTAAGAGAGGTCACCCGGATATGGTTCCCCCTAGACTGCAGTTAAGCCGGATTGTAATTACCAAGTTCAATTTCTATGATAGTTATACTGCGGAAGGTTCTCAAACAGTCTGAAGTCTCGACTAAAGGTCTTCAGACCCTCTCAATCCGAGTCTCTAGCTGGCGACTAACCTACACCGGAGTAAACAGATTGAGGCCCTATGAACAAAACCTCCACTACCGAATTGAATTCGGTACAGAATAGTGAACTGGCTCCTCGACTAAAGTCACCAATTCACCACCTTCGATTAAGGATACTCTATCAACCTAGGCAGATATTATCATTCTAGGTTAAAGCAGAAACAACAGGAATTTGATCAGGATTCATGCCATTCAATCATTCAAACCTCAATAGAATATAATCAAAATCATAGAGTCAATACTTGGGTTCATACAATCAAACCTAACATACAGAACTAGGGTTTCCCATACCCAGATGAATGGGGGAACTACTCCATGGAGAGAGAAGCAAAAGCAGAATCAGACGCGGAAATCATACTGTGAAGATGGATTTCTGCTCCTGGACGTTGAATCGGCACTTCTCTAAGCTCAAACCAAGCTCCAATGGTGTCGAAGATCGATCTAGGGCACTTGGAGGCTCTTGTTCGTCACTTTCTCTCTCTAGGAACCGCTCTGTCTCTCAAAAACTCGAATCCCCTTCTGTTTGGCTCGCAATCCGCTTAAAAACCAGACTTTCCCGACTCGCACGGCCAGGGTGCACGGCCGTGCACATCACCATCCTGGCCGTGCGACTCAAAACGCGGCGTACCATTAAGTCGAACCTCAGCCATCTCGCACGGCCAGGATTGCACCTTGCACGGCCGTGCGGATTTCACTTGTGCCCGTGCAAGCTCTCGCACCAACCCGCACGGCCAAACGGGTCACTTGCACGGCCGTGCGGGTTTCCTGCTCTGCCCGTGCGTGCTCGCATAATGTCGCACGGCCACAATTGTATGTTGCACGGCCGTGCGACTTCCATGGCTTGCCCGTGCGTGGCCTCGGCAAAAAGCGCACGGCCAACTTGCTCACATGCACGGCCGTGCGACTCCCTGGTCTGGCCGTGCAGCCTCCTTGGAACCTCGCCATGCGTCCGACCTTCGTCCAATCGACCCCAGACTCGCTCCTAAGCCTTCATTCACGTCGTAGGACCTGAAATATCACAACCAAGCACAACCTAGCGTGAAATCGGCCTAAAACACGAGAATCAATACATCAAACGGTGTAAGAACAGGGGTGAAAACA